AGCAGGAATCCAAAATTATTATTACAACTTCTTGGTTTTCCTCAATATTTAACAGCTGCCAGAAAATTCATGAACTGAAATCTCCATCTTTTATATACTTAGTACTCTGGATTTGAACCACATAGGAACTAACTCGGATTTAAGCACCAAATTAAGTACCAACTTTTTGACAAAGCCAGTACATCTCACATTTGAATTGCTGATTCTGGAAGAGGGCTGCAAAGCTGAGGAGTTTGAAGGACCCTTTACATTTACTGGATAGATAGGATCAGCCTTTTAAAATTGCCTTGTTTTTATCTTAAAATTTAACAGCAGTTCCCTGGTGTTAATTTTCTCACCATATAAAAAAAAGTCTCAGGAACTCTTCATCTCGGTGCCATGTAAAAAGAAGATATTAGGGACAGAGACATGATTTATGATGGTATTTAAATACCGTATGGAAAGCACGATGGCAATTTAAGCAAGGAAACCGAGAGCAATGGGAATAGTAGCCTACTCTGCCCCGTCCGTGTTGGGGTCAGACCCAGCATTCATCAAATCACTGGAAAAATGTCCCAGGCTTGTGACTGCCTGAGAAGACAAGTAAATCCCAGCACCACTGAAGGTTAATTACGGGACTTGAGTTTTATTTCTTAAAAAAAAGCATGATTGGAACAATTTGGTGTGCCATGGTTTATATGCCAAAGGTGGCCTAAAGTTACCACGATGAGACAAGGTGTATTAATAAGGAAATATATCCAACCTGACATCCAGAGATTATTTAATGTCATACTTTTATTTCACAAGATTCAGTTCCATTTTGGTAAACTAGCTTTTTAAAAACGTGCCCACAGGTCCACTGGGCCATCACGACCCCTTAGGACTTGTGGGAGTGTCAAAGCCAGCTCCTGGCTGCCTCCTCCTCCTCCTCTTCCTCCTCCTCTTCCTCCCTGCAGCCGAGGGCTGAGCCCGCAGCATCACCTCAATCAGCAGCGGCTCAGAAACGGAGGGTTCTCAGTAGCCTAATAACGTGGATTATGCATCTCTCAGTTACTTTTGAAAGTTTCAGATATATTTTTGCCTAAGGACAGTAGATAGGGGGTTTTTTATGGTGAACAAATATCTCTAATACTCTTTGAAACAAACCTTTATATAATTCATGACCAAGTCTAAAGTACTAGGTAATACTGATTCAATGATAAAATAACTTTAAATCTTTTCATGTGATTTCAAGAAACCTACTGCTCATGTTCACATCCAATTAAGCTCTATGAATCAAACTCTGCAATCTTTACCAAAACCGATGATTGTCAGTACTGATTTCCAGAGAAGTTTTGACCATGCAAGGATTGCAGGAGCTGGCCTGATTAAAATTGCAGTTGGACAATGAGTTTCATTACATGATTTGAATAGGCTAATTACAAACCTGAAGTCTGTGATGTGAAATCCCCTCCCCATGCTGGTCCTGCTGGCGTTTGGATGATGGTTTCTTTTAGCCATCACCCACCTGCACAAAGAACGTTCTACTTCTTGGGGCTGCTAGTTAAAACTAATCCATATTTTGCAAATATAAATATTTTTGTTAAAAGATCGCAAAACCTAGCAACTAAACTGATGCTCATGTCTCCTCTTGCAGGCGTGTTTCTCAGTAACATCTTTGCCCTTTAAATCTATAGCAGGATCTCAAAAACATCTGGATACAGAAGAAACCCCGTAAAGATGCTGTCGTCCTCAGCGCTGACATAGACCCCGTTCCAGTCCCGCGCAACCTCCAGCCACACCTGGTCGCCTGCACTCAGCTTCAGGACGGTCAGGAAGGATGCCTGGTCGATCTCCTGGCCGTAGAGCGTCTCACGGGCTTTGGCCACCTTCCTGCTGCGGGCGACGAGGCTGACGCGGGCTGGACGCCCTCTCACTGTCAGGTGGTAGGCAAAGACGTACGCCCCGGGCACGCTGCAGTTGAATTTCCCGGTGGAAGGGTTGTAATCTTCTTGGTCATTGTACAAGATCTTGTCAAATCTAATGGGGACGTTGGGCGGAGGGAAGGGCTTGGACAAGCCGGCGCTGAACGCCGATCGCAGGAGCTTTGCGGTGTCCCCTCGGGCGCCCTTTGCCCCACGGGAGCCTTTCTTTCCCGGGGCCCCTCGGCCCCCCTTGCTGCCAGCGACCCCCTTGGGCCCAGAAGGTCCCATCACGCCAGCGGGTCCCAGGTCCCCTTTTTCACCCTTACTTCCTTGCTCGCCCTTTTCTCCTTGTTTTCCATCCGCCCCCTGAACACCCTCAGCCCCCATCTCCCCTTTGCTGCCTTTCTCCCCCTTTGTGCCCCCTTCCCCTCTCTCCCCCTTTGCTCCTCTCCCCCCTGGCTCCCCACAGTACCCCTTCTCCCCCGTGTCTCCCTTTTCCCCTTTGTCACCCTGTTCTCCATCCACTCCCGGCTCTCCAGCATCCCCTCTATCTCCCTTGTCTCCTTTGGTCCCGTTCTCACAAGTGTCCCCTTTGGACCCCTTTTGTCCCTTCAGTCCAGGGAAGCCGTAGTTGCCCTTATTGCCTTTTACTCCAGCTTCACCTATGAAAAGGGCAAAGCAGGGGGGGAAAAAAAAAGAGATTAAAAACATTAGTATTGGATTGCTTTGGAGATGGAGGGGCATGACCAACAGCAAAGGGAAAGGTCAGCGCAACATTCCTGGTTTTCCCAGCCCGTTACGTACCTTGCAGCCCAGGTTTGCCTGGATAACCGGGGTTTCCACTTACTCCTCGCTCGCCTTGCTCCCCTTTGCCTCCTAGGACATTTCACCATTAATACACTGCTGGTGATGTTGTCTGCAGCACAGCAATCATGGCACAAAAGGTGACTGGTACCATTTTGCCTGTCTCCCTCACTTCATTAATAAAACAGATATGAGCAATGTGTGTTTCCAAGAAGTGCCTTCAGAAACCTCAGCTGAATCTCACAGCACCGAGCACCATCGCTCAGACAACTGCATCTCACCCGAACGTTGGATTTCTGACTCTAATCGGCACCTTGCTGGGAGGTGGTTGCTGCTGTTTAATGGCAAGATGGAGATGACAGATGTGCACTTCTCACTCCAGGATTGCCAAAAGTCTTGTTCAAGAAGTGAACCAAAGCCTAGGAGACTGCACTGACTGAAATGTGCAGCACGATGCTGCTGGTACCCCGTAATCAGCTTTGCTGAGTGTTTCTCCACGGCCGAAGGCAGCCACAGGGTCCTACCAGCAGTGTGTGGCAGCAGGACAGAGCTGCTCTGAGCCTGAAATGAAGGGCAGGGTTTCCTTTCGGTTACTACTGATGGATAATAATTGCTCTCTATATCTTAGCTGAAATAATTTTGCCTGAGATACTTAAATTGAAAAGCAGCTTCTACACCTGTACATAGCTTCCATGGTGGGTTTTTCCTACTTATGTCCCTAATCGAAAGCAAATTGAGCTCAGATTTTGAACTCTGACTCAGAACAAGGAGTTTCAAGTGAGACCTTTATGAGCAGCTGTTCCTATACCGCCTGCTCATACACTACCACCATCCAAGTTATTATCCCTGCACTAATGCCAGCTAAATCTCACAAGGTGCCAATCCATATCAGCATACTCCGTTTCCTTTGAAAAATATATTTTCCTATAATTTTGTGGTATTCGATGAGGACAGCAGCATCTGTTTTCAAAATGAACAGTTAGTCTCCTTTACCTCTTTCTCCTTTAGAACCTTTTGGACCTTGAGGACCTGGGGTTCCCGGCAGACCTTGCAGACCAGCATCTCCCTTCTCCCCCTTGGCACCTGTAATGTAATCACACCAGCAAAATTATCTTAGTAACTCAAAAGTTTAACTTCTTTATAAAGAAAATTCGCAATAATAGCTAAGCAACATGGCATCGAGGGATACCAGGTGAGGGAAACTCTGTTTCCATCATGCTGGGAAGAGCTGGCTAATTTTATTTGGCATCATACAACCAATGCAAAGCCGTGAGACGGGCGGGTTTGGCTTGAGCCCTGCTCCCCTGTGCGTTGCAGACACTGCAGCTGAAACCCTACATCAGGGCAAACGGCAGGGATGGTAGGGGCAACGCTGCACTGCTCGTGCTGAGATTAGTGGGGCGCGTGCACCCCAACCTTTGCCTTTCAGCTACTGCAAGCCCCAAATCTTGGGGCCAGCTTGGCATTTCACTCTTGGCTGTAGTTAAAGACTTTTTAAAACCAACTCTCAGCTGCCTCTAGAGCCACAGGAGCTCAGACATTCGTAAAATATCAGAAGGAATCTGTCTTGGATATTTGAGTGCATCTAAGGAGCTCCCATTGCTTCGTAATTGCCCCTCTCCTTAAAAAGAATTAAGTCTACAAATATAAAGTGGACCCTGGCAGACGGCTCCATGCTGGATGGGTGGAAAGGCAGGCAAGCATGTCCCAGTGCATGTCTGGGAGTAGACTAGAGCAGTTTCAGTCGTCACAACACAACCCATTTGACACAAGGACTTTTCCATCAACACTCCAGAGACGTACGAGTGCAAACTCCCTCTGCAGCCACTATAATTTCCATTAGCCAATCCCTGCCGAGCTATGGGAAGTGAAAATCTCTTGAGTACATTGTATTAAAAGCAAATTATTTCATGATTTTACCACCTTTCCTCAGATGAATAGTTTCTATCTCCAATATTACTGCTATTAAAGTGATCATTTGCAAACTACTGCACTATTCATTATAGCAGTATTAGAATTAGGTGCTCTGTAGATATCTATTTTAGCAGCAGAAAAAAGAGACAAAGTATGTCTTATCAAATATTTAGGTGTTCTATACAGAGCTGCCTCTTGTGAGAGCAAATAATTATTTTAAAATTTGAACCCGAAATTATTTTTGTATTCAAATTCCTTTTTTCCGAGGGAAAAAAAAAAATCCAAGAAAAAGAGGCTTTTATAATAAACCTTCAGCAAAGATATAAAACTGCTTGCAGGTAGTTTTGAGGGTCATAAAACCGTGGCTGAAGTGAATGTGAAAGTAAATCTGTGACTCCCAAGGGATCAGGGACAGGGACAGAGAATCGAAGAGTGTGGCCACGTGGGGCACCCGCCAGCAGCGCCGTGGTATGGGGCCAGCTCTGCACGCGTCCCCACGCCAGTGTGGTCCTCAGCGTGAGTGCCATGGGGCAGAAGCTCCTTTTTGGGGCTTTCCCACTCATATTGGCGTTTTATAACTTCTGGGATGTGGCTAGCACGCGCTTTTTTGCTCTGGCTTTATACAAGGTATAACCACATTGGGCATTTGCTGCACAAGTCCTGCCGACCCATTTCTTGAAGGAGAAGCGGAAGATTCCTTGATACGGTTTATGCGCCTTAGCTAAGAGCGGCAAGAGACATCGCTGTACCTGGGGGTCCCTGCTCCCCTGGCTGCCCCCAGGGCCCCGTGGCAGGCGGGCAGCAGTCACAGCAGTTGAAGAAGAAATCGGCTGTGTCAAGCGTGTAGGTTTCAAATGTGGCCCCTCGGGCCGCGGGGCTCAGGGTGGGTAACTCGGCTCTGCTCGGTGCTGCTGGGAGCGGGCTTTTCCCGGCGAGGGGGGTGTGAGAGGCACCATCGCCCGCCAGCTGTAAGGGCTTCGTCTTCGTGTACTTCACAGCTGGGGTCACCTTCACTCCCGCGTGCACGGTGGTAACAACCAGCATCACAAACGCCGAGACGGGCCCCGGTGAGCTCCACATGTTGGCAGCTGTGGGAAAAGACGAATGCAAGAATAAATTGCTGCACACCACCTATTCGCGTGTTCCCCACAAAGCCAGAAGACCTGCAGGAGCAGTGTGGGCATCTGCCTGGAGGACCACGTTACAAAGCCTCACTTTTTATGGGGAAAGTAAAGCAAAATTAGCAAAACTTCCTGCCTGCTCACCCCTATTGACCGTCACCCCAGAGAGCACTTGCTGTCCAGCTGCTCCCGTTAGCTGCGGTTGGAAGAGCTCCCACGGGTATCAATAGAAGCTCAAGGGACTGACTGAGTCACACGATCACTGGGACACATGATGTCTCTTCCGAGTGTATGATTAGGAATAACTCAATAGGATTTCTGAGTTCAACACAACTGCACATTATAAAAAGCTTTGCTCTAAAAGAATAAATGGAAACAAAAGGAAACATCAAGTATTCCAGAATTTTTATGTCGATTTTTTCTTCATTACTGACTGATTTTCTGGACTTGCATATTCTTTTAGTATAAACTTTCAGGTCCATTCTTTTTATTTTTTAAAGTGTTGCTTTAGCTGAACCAGGAAGAAAAAACAAAGTAAGCGGGACACATTTTTTTCCTATAGGACAGATGATGCCTCTCAGATGACTTGTCATATAAAGCATCTTTGTTTCTTTTTTAAACCAGTGTACCGGCCTGTAAATACAAATGGAACAGACTCCCTTTCTTGCAGAACCTGTAATCTAACCTTCCTTAGCAGCTAAGGCACTTCATTACCTGAAAAAGCCACCGGGAGAAACACTGACTGTCCTCACCATCCAGAGGGCAAAAGGAGGTCCAAGCCACAGTCAGGTATTTGAGGGCTGGATTATAATCGTTCCATCTTTAAGAATTCAGTTTTAGAGGAAGGGGTCATGATTTTTTCCATTTTCACACAAAACCAAATCATTTCATGGAAAATTGATTATCCACACAAAATCCCCAGCCATCACCGCTGCCCATTGCTGCCGTTCAACCCATCCTTTACCCCGTCAGCTCCAGTAAGGGATAAATTAACCCTTCTCCATACATTCGTCGCATTAGAACAGGATACCAGGCACTGATTTTTGTCACAGGCTCATATTTGCTGATATTTGCTCCCTGCCGACCTTACCATGAAGAGCCGAACCCGGGGGCGGTTGGCGCGGGAGGGCAGCGCTCAGCGCAGGCAGGCAGAGAGGAACCAGACCGTACAGCCAGCAGCCGGGAGGCAGCCGCAGTCGCAGAGCAGGAGGGTCATCTGCTGTCTAGGAAGAGGAAAAAAAAAAAAGCACCAAATTCTCCTTTTGATGAATATACTCACGCAGGAGTGTTTTTTTCCACTGCCGGAGATGACTGAATAAACCCATAACTTCCACGCGCTGAAAGCCAGCAGCAGAACGAAACTGCAGCTTTAGAGACCTAGTGACTTTATGGGGAAATGGTAAATCTGTTTTCAAATCAAAACCATTTCTACGTTTTACTGTCACAAACCACTTCTGCAACAAGCTCTGAAACCAGACACTCTCTAGTTCCATTGCCAGATTGATGGGTTGCTGTCAAATACTGGAAAAACATAATTAATAAAAAAATTATACCTTACCAGTCTGTTTAGAAAATAAATTGCTCAGAACAAGGAACAGATTTTCAGCATAATGGGCAAGACTGTTCCTAAAATAACTATTCTTAAATATATAAACACATTTTAATAAACATGAAATTTTGGACTTTTTCATTACATCAGCTCCCCACCACTGATTCAAAAATCATGCATTTGAATCCCCCCCACTAGGAAAGATTATGATTCACAGTGGACACAAAATATGAAGAATTAAACTTTGCCGCATCTCATTCACTACATCTATATTTAATTGGACCTAAATATCCACTAATCGTTAGCATGTGTCCCATAATAACGTTGTACTAATACAGTTGTTCTTTGATTTGGTCCCTAAAATTAGAGTATTTAAATATTCCGGTTCAAAACAGGTATTTAGCCCCAGTCTCCCAGCTTTAAATATCAGGGAGATGATCGCACTTCCTGTTGTTTCATTATTTCAAGTTCTTATATAGGGGAGGAAAAACACTAGTCCTCATGCAGTTATACATTCATTACAGACAGTAACATTTCTTCAGACAAAATAAATTGCCACTGTGTCTTAAACTCTACGACTTCATTGCAAACATCCCGCCAGAATACTAAACGAGCGGTGTGTGCTATCTCCTACCTTATAACTGGTCCTGCTCCCAGGACGACCCCCCCCTCAATGGCACTTTGAAAAAGACAATCTTATTTTCGGAGAGAATCAGTTTTATTTGCGTAATGGCTGCTCCCGTGGCCAATGAGAGCCTGCGCGGTGTGGGGAGAAGGGGGGATTGGCAAAGTCCCCTGAAAGGAGCAAGGTGACATTGAAATCTGAGGAAATTCAAACGCTTTCCCTGGGCTGGGACGCTGCTCTTCACATGGGACTTTTTTTGGCTTTTCCCCCCAACACCAGTTTTTGGGGCTTTAGGGACGCTCCTCTTTCAATTCACAGCATCGTGTTTTGGTACCTGCAGACTCAGCCTGATTTTGTCCATTTGCTTCAGCAGGGTCCAGGTTTCTCTCTCGGTATTTAACGTGCAGAGTTTGGCATCACACTGCCCTCCTTGCGGTGGGAGTTTAGGAAGGGGAAAAGAGAAATTACAGAAATAGCTGTATGGGATCATGAGCGCACGTGTGCACATGGAAACGCACCACTGGGGGAATTCAGCCTCAAATCCAGGCTGTCCCAGGTAAATGCAGAGCTGGAGCAAACGCTTCCTTCTGCTTCCACCTCCGGTGCAGAGCGGGGTACCTGCGGGCAGCCGTGCTGCATGGCGGGGTGGCAGAACAAAACCGATGGGAAAAGGAACAAATCCACCCCAGGAGGGTTGCTGCAATGTTGTTCTTATTGGAACCGATAACCCCTCTGGATTTCACAGGCTAATTGATTTTCGTCGCTCTTTCCCAGCAATCACAGCACTCCTTTCCTTCCCTGGTGACCTTAAAATGGGCCAGCGTTTATTCTTAGATTTCCCAACCTGGTTCAGAGTGCAGTACGAAACGCAGGAATGTGAGGCTGCCTTTCATTGCCTGGTCTTGGTGAAACATGAGCAAGGAAACCATCTCATTCAATCAGTCTGAATTTACTCCATACCGGTTCACTCAAAGCTCAGCTGCCGGACAAGAAAGGTTGCTTGTTTCAGGCGAGCTGGAGAAAACAATCAATTCTCCTTTAATGTAAGTGGAGAGAATTGTAATCCTCCATGATTTATTTGCAACCACCTTTTCCTGCACAATACTCTACAGCTTTCAGCAATAACAAGTTGATTAAGGAAAGTCTATTACTAAGCGTAGCAGGCTAGATTGATTCACCAGCTTTTCATGCTATTCCAAAGAAATCAATTAGGAGTTTTGCAGCGAGATGCTCCAGCCCCGTGTAGGACATGGGCTTGTCACAGCTCCTCCAGTGTAGCCTGGACCAGCACTCACTGATGCTCATTCCTACTGCTGAAACCAGAGCTGGATCCTGAATTCAAATGGTTCTTTTTTAAAAATGAATAATCCTTTTCACTACTGTAATTGGACTTAATCTTTTAAACGGAAGTTAAAAATACTTGTGTCTTCAGCAGTTATATTTCTGACAAGATCATGGACACAAAAATTGAAGATAAAAGGCAATAAAATCAATTATAATACAATCCTTATTTTGATCTTAACTCAGGACTTTTCATTAGCAACAGAAGTTATTCAACAGGGAAAAATTAACCATTTTTAACCAAGATCACTACATATTCACCAAAGCTACTCTTTCACAGACTTCAATTTAATGCCTTATTTGCTGCATTCTAAAGCTAAAGCAGGAAATCCTGGGTTAGTGTATTTTCCTGGAATAGTATTATTAGAGTATGTGACAAGTGCAGGTTTTTAAATTATACAATGCTTATTGAGTTTGGAAAACCCATGGGTTGAGAGTGTAAATTAAGATTTAGCATTTGATTAATCACTACGTTTATTCAGGGGATCTGGATCTACATTTTACTCATATAAATGATGCATGTGCGCCATTAAAATTCCTCCAAAGTTTATTTATTTCAAACACACTCCTAGCCTTGCATATTTGCAGATAACTGGTTTTGACTGAGATTTGCAAAGTAAAGTAAAAAAAAAGCTGCATCCATGCTACTGATTTCTACCAGCACATCCGTCAGCCATGGGCAGGAAGGGTTGTGATCTTCTCATAACTGCCAGGTCACTCAAAGACCCTCCTGGGGCTTGGCAAAAGCAAACACATGAAAGCCAGTGCATCCTGGAGGAAGCTTTAACCAGGATAAAGCAATTCCCCAAGGAAGCAGCATCCTTGCAACCACTAATCCTTGCAACCCTTATGCCGGCTCCCCATCCTTATCAGAGGTGGGGAGGAAAAGAAGGAATTCTCTAGAGACCCTCCCCTCTCCCCTCCTCTGCAGCCTGATGCTTTCCTGGGAGACAGCGGGGTCCTGAACCTGGATGCGGCTACGGCAACCTTGTGCTTGCAGGATCCTCTCCTTGGCTGCCATTCTGAAACACAGAGGGACACGGCAAACCGCGTAAATGCGTTTTGTATTAAATTAATGGAGTATTTCTCAAATGAGATCAGCGAGGGGATTAAAAAAGCACCTCCCAGCTTCTAACTGTTTGCAAGTGAAAATAGAAAATTTAGACCTGCAGACACAAGGTAGTCTGATAAACTAAAAAAAAAAAAAAAAATCTGTTTTGGAAATAAAATAAAGGAGGAAACAGTGAAAACCCAAGCAGCATTGAAAATAAGTCCGGTTTGTAATAATAGGTAATTTAAAATCTTAGTGCTCAAATATCAAGGCGGCAAACTGGAAAAGAGAATATTCACATAGAATAGAAAGTAGGTAAAAATGGAATTAAATTACATTTGAGCTGGGTAAAAAGTGTTAAAAGGAAATTAACATTTCTGTGTGAAAAAACAATTAACACTTCTCACAAGATTTCCTACAACAATTCAGCAGACCTCCTGGAAGAGGGCCTCCTCTCCCCCCAGAAAATTTTATTTTCTGAAACATTGAAATGTGTTCTGGTTTCCTTTATTCATTATCACAAAACAACTGAGCTAAACAGAAAACAGACTGAAATGAACATTTTCTGCTGTGGTGTTAATTAGAGGAGGGAATATTTCCATATGAGACAGTACAATAGATAAATTCATCTAAGTCAAGATACAACTTCTTTTCTCCTCTCGTACGTACTCGGTATGTCGTAGCCTCTTAAATGTCACTTAGAGGCAGCACCAAATGGACAGCAGGAAGTCATCTTTGCTGGGGGACAAAAAAGCAGAAAGCTTTTTTTTTTGAAGACCCACAGGAAAATCTACAATTTCATTTTCTCCCCCATTTTCCCTCCATCCCTTCTCTTTTTTTTTCAACCTGGATATCCAGACAGCCCATATTTTCGAGGCTGACCCCTTTTTCCAGGGACTTCAGGGTCTCCTTTGGGTCCCAAGAATCCTCAGACACCAGGAGACCCCATGTGCCCCTTCCAGCCCTTCCCACCCATTTCTCTTCTGCCCCCCTTGGACCCCTTTTCTCCACGGTTACCTCTCAGTCCTGTGTCACCTCAGGGACTCAGCTGCCCCTTGTAGCATGCAGATACTGGAAGTCTTCTAGGACCAGTTTGTCCCCTCCAAGGAAGTCCTGCTTCACCACTGAGCACCTGATTACTCTTCTCCCGTTGGTCCTCACTGTCCAGGTCCTCCTGGGGGTCCTTGTATTCCTCTCTTCCCCAGATATCCTGGTTTACCCACAGAAGGGAAAAAAAATGGTTACAGTCCCTTTACTAAGAACACCATGTCAGAACAGACAGAATACAGCCCTGTAGCAGAGCCTTCACTGGCCATCAAACTACACGTTCACCAAAACAATGTCATTTTTTTCTGCATGACATAAGACTACTGAGAACTAAGCCGTAAGTGGTGTAAAAACACCACAACAAAGCAAGCAAAATCTTGCAAGATCAAAATCTTTTTCCATCTGGAGATGCTGCTGTTCAGATGCCATGGAGAACGGCCACTCTGAGGACATCCTGGAAGCCAGGAGGTCAAGTGTGGTGTGATCATGTGTTCAGCATTTGGGATGCTAGTTTGCAGTTTTTTCCAAAAGAAAGAATTAAGAATTAAATGTTTGAGGCAAATAAAACCTAAAAATGCCAAAAAAAAAAACCCCAAACAAACAAACTGTAATTTGTCTCTGCAGTTGTTCTGATTTCAGCTTAAAACTTTGGGGGCTTTCATTTGTGATGAGAACTTTAACTACTGTGTGGTGTAAATATTAAACAAGGCATTTATGTAGAAAAAGGAACTACTGTTCATGTAGGATTTAAAAATGCTTGACTTAAAAAAAAATACTGCCATAGGGATTTTCATTGGATGCAAAGGAATAAAATAATCTCCCTGTAAAATCAGTATAATTACATTAAGATTCAGATATCAAGGGGAAAATAAGATCAGAAAAAAACCTGCCTCGGTCTATACCAGTATATCCCACAAACCCTACGCCATATGTTGTTTTGAATTTCCTACGGCTGCAGCATGGCAGTGCAGTTACACCTAAATCGAGATTTATTGCACTTTAAAGTATAATGGCTAAAAGGATCCAAAAGCTACTGTTTCACATAAATAAGCATTTAGGGAGTTATTTAAGGACTATAAGAACTTCATGATACCTATTACATTCTATCGAGTCAATCACTCTAAGAGTCCCTAAATGCATATTTAAAATACCAGTACCGTGTACTTATTTATGTGAGAGACCGGAATTACAGCATGTGGGTTGTTGCAGCTCATCGGGTTGAACTCCTACACTGGTGCTGATTTTTGGAGTGTAAAATGGCCCTGCAAACACATGCGCTCCCCCGTGCATCGTACCGCTTCAGCGGGGAGCAGAGTGCGGCCCCGCTCCAAGCCCTACTCCGGGGCACGGATCTCCTTTGTCAGGAGACAGATGCCTCTGCTCTTGACTAAGAAACACGTCCATTGTGCTCGTCTGGAAACTCTAGACAGCCAAAGGTAAAAAGTGATAAAATTACCTGGCTCCCCTTTTTCACCCTGCTCTCCCTTTGTGTGTGGGGCTCGGGGATGTCACAGAAACCCTGCTTCTCTGGTGTACTGCTGTTTTCCTTCAGAAACAAAATAGTCCTCAATAGCCTTGCCTTTGCTAATAGCCAGTGGTGGGATTGTTTCCCTCCTCGTCTCCAGTACCGTCCTTCAGGGAAGACGATATTTGCTGAGGGGAGGGGTCTGAAACGCCAGGCTGGTTGGTGAGAGTGGCTTGTCCCTTTGGGGAGAGGGTTGTCACCCTCTCCGCCAGCCCCGTGCTGCGGCTGAGGATGTCAGAGCGGCCCGGGAGCCCCCCGAGTGCCACCCTCTGGGACCACTGTGGTGGCTTGAGTCATCAGCGGGGACAGCGGGTGCCCGTGGCAGGTCCCTTGCTCCTGGTCCCCGTCCCCCACTGCTCCTGGTATTGCTGGGAACTGGCTGAAAGCAAGAGCTTTCCCAGCAAAAGGATTACTTCTAAAAGTAGAGAAGCCACACGCAGTCATAACGCAGTGCCAGTACCTCACCTGAAGAGTATCTACCAATGCAGAAAATTCTTTCCCATCCACAAATATGGAGATTGTTGCATTCACAGGAGTAGATGCTAAAAAAAAAGAAGAAAAAATGCATACATCATACAGTCCTTAAAGAAGCAGAGGAAGATCTCCACTGTCACAATTTGCAGGGCACGTAGAACGACAGCAGCTTTATTGCAGCATCCTGTAAATTGTGTTTGCTGGTTGAAATCTCCTTTTTCATGTTTAATAGATGAAACCCATGAGGCAGACCCAGTACCTACTACCTATGAGGTAAGGTGCTGCCTTTGTGTTCCTTCATGAGCAAATGTTGCAGCTTAAAGTGGCCACTCAACATTTCATGATGTATATCCCATTATTTAATTATTCTGAGCTCAAAATAATCCCAAAGGAAGTACATCATGCCTATAGCATATTGCAAACCAGCAGTTTTATGTATCCAAATTTATAATTGATTATGTTTAAATAGATACCTAACTGATTCAAAATATTTATTTATCTCAGGCTAAATATTTGACTGTGAATAATCTGGTAGAAATCACAGTGACCCCTATAAACAGTCATTAGCTGTAATTTACCTTTTAAAACTCCTCACACTGTGGACTATAAAATTCTATTTTGGATAATATCCTGGCAAGGAGATGAATCAGAGTGATTTTATATGAACATCCAACTTTAACTGGATTTGCTGAAAAATTGAAGGAGGTGAGGGCCCTTTGTGGCTTCTGGTGGGTGCAATTCAGAAACCAAAGTGCATTTATGGAGCCAAAGTAAGGAGGAGAGAGGATCGGTGAGTTGGCAGCAGGGCACCTGGAGAAAGATGTGCTGGAGTAGTCAACAGACCGCTTGGACCACCCTGAGCACAGGAGTTTCTACACCTAAGCACTGGGGGGTTATATATATATATATTTATGTTTATGCATGCACTTATGTATAAATAGGAGTATTTCTAGGAAATTTTTCTATTGCATATAGTTGAACTCAAAGAATAAAAAGTGCACCATGAAGTTTTATGTTGTCTCTAATTTTTTGTACCCTTGGTTGTTCTGCCGCATTTGCCTGGTGTCTCACTCATCCCACATATCCGCCTTCCCCAAAGTTTTCAGGGGTACATCTCATCATGCCAATGCCTTCTCCTTCCAGCACGCACCCCTATATCACTCGCTCCAACACCAGACTTGGCAGCTCTACCGATGCGGTGCAGGCGTTAGGTTTTGGGGCTCTTTCAGGCAACAGGCAGTTTCTCACCGTTTCTTTGCAAAGACCCAACAGGCCCACAGAGGCCAAATACCTTAAGTTCAAAAGTTGGTCAAAAATTGTGAACGACCATTGTTTAAAAATTCATACTCTAATATTCACATTTTTTAAAATATTTTTTCTTTTTTACAAATCAGGAAAGATTTGGCCATATAGCTGCTCTTGTACTTGGACCAGGTGCAATTATTCTCACATATGTAAAGTTTCCATGAAGTTCCACAGACAAATAAAATTGACTTGGCCTGCTGCCATCTTTTAGGAAGTTTTTTTACTATTAGAACTGGCAACATTTACCATAGGTGTATGCCAGGATCACTAACGCAGCAGCCGCCTATTAATCAGCAAAGGGCAGGTGGTGTTTTCTAAGAACCTTTATGCCAGCACTGTGGATTAAACCAAATATTATCAGTTTTCATCTAATTATTTCACAGAGGGTCTCTCTAGCTCCATACACCTGCCACTTTTCCTTCTGAAAGACAAAATTTAATTAAAATCAGGAGCTTATGCCTACGCACCTTCTTTTTAAAAAGGGAGATGTAGTATCAAGAAGCAAGTCAGGCACCAATACTGCCAACTCTCGTAGTTTTGCCATGAGACTTAGGATATTTAGTACTCTAAAAGCTTAATCGCTTAAACCCTTGTGATTGCAGAAAATTGCAGATTTCATTTTAAAAAGTCAGTTCTGAGGCTTGTGTTAAAAAGGCTCCGACTCTAGGAGGTAAATGACGATAATCCCAAGTGTAATTATATTTAAACTTTTCCAGTCTCATAATTTGAGAGGAAATGACACACAGCTTGTAATATTTAAGAGACACCAACCTGGTAACTACAAGCAGGTTTACACAAAGGGATAGTAAGTCGTGTTTCTGATTTCTGAGTTGGATTGTGCCCTTGCCAGTATTAAGACACATGCATATGAATAGCATCAACTAAAATACCGGGATACTGGTGACAGACTCAGCCCTTTCCAAGTCCTCAGCTACACTACCGGGCTTTTAATTATTGTAGGTTTTAAACAAAGCCTACGTTCTAGCTGCACCTGCCCAAGAGATGGCAATGTCTCACTGTCGGACCCAGCTTGTCCAAGGCAAAGTGCTTTGCATTAGCAAAAGCTTTTGTCCTAAGCTTATTATTCCATAATAAACACTGCAATCATTATCTATTTTAATACTGTGAAATCCAGTCAGCCTGAAACTTCCCCAGTTAATAGCCATCTTATGAGACAAAGGGCTTATAGATCTCCACAACAGCAAATTCTATTCAGCAGAGAATTTTGTCCTGCTCCTCTGTGGCACAATGTTGACACACAGTGACGCAGACTCCTTTGCAGGTAATTTTACATCAGGAGGTGTTGCAACACCCCTTGGAAATAAGGAAATGGGGATATCTACTTTCCTTTAACCCAAATACTTCTTTGCTTTGGCAAATATATGTTTTGTAATAAAGCAAGGTTACAGCACTTAAAGTCACGACTTAAAGAGTCGCGTGCTGCCACCTTAAAATCATATAGGAAGCAAAAAAGCCTGGGAACAAAATTGTCTGTCTGTGTGCTGAACTCAAAACTTGTTGGGAGCTTATAGTATTTACAAAATTAAAAAGCAATGAGGAGGGAGAGAATTGTTTCCTCTGACATGTAAACTCGACGCAAGGGACTTTGGATCAACACTAAAGTAAGAGGAAAGATTCCTACTGAATTCGTTGGAACAGACACCTAATGCCCATGCAAGTGAAAATTAACCATCCTAGAAACACCAGTCCCCAATTATCAGCAGGCGAGAGGCGGTGTGAGAACAGCATCGTGGTTTGGGCTCATTTCACACCTCAGCACGCTCAGAGACAAGCTGCAGAGGCAGTGAGATGCACATCAAGTTTGCATCTCCCAAAAAGTGTAACGCCCTGGAGTCTCCTGTCTGGTGGCCGCAGCTGCGATCACGGAGCTAGAAAAGCATCTTCTGGCTCTGCCACAGCTCTGTTACTAATACTAATAATACTAAATCATAATTATAAATAAAATATATTCTGTTTTTTAGATCTTCTGATTAGGGCAGGAGCAGAATAACCTCCTTTCCACCTCTCATAACAGGCCTTGACAATGGAGAAAGAGCAACACGTGCCTCAGTGGGAAGGATTTCTATGGCAGTTTGCAAGGAGGCGACAGAGTCTGGTTTGGACTCCAAATGCAGTGACAAGCTTTGCCATACGCCAGACGTCGTGGTGAAATGCAGCATATTTTTACAAGCAGAGCTGAGAGACAAAGAAAGGAGTTCCCACGTTGGCAGGTGCAGAGGTGATGAAACAGGGATGATGGGGCGGGAGGTGGGATGGAGGAGGATAATGCAAGAGGTTTCAGAAAAAGTGGAGAACTGCTGCTTCAGCCAGAGGCTCATCACAAGAGGGCACTCCAAGTGCTCCCAACAGCCCTGCCAAGGATGGTTTTACAACCCGCACCGTCCAAAGATGAAGCACAAACATCCTGGCCCTAAGCCTTAAATCACCCCCACAGACCCCGGACATCATGCTCTGCACCCTGAGCATCCCGCTCCATCCAGGACAAGCACAACAGGAGACAACACAGATTTTCCCGGAATAATTTACCAACAGCCTCTGAATGAAAATGGGATTTCTGAACACTGTGTATATGTGATTAATAAATAAACCACAAAAAATCAGGTATCCGTGAGACCTACACTTTTCAAACTTGTTTCCACTGAGAGTAGTAATAAAAGCTGAATCTGTATGGTCATTGTATATAGGGGAAAACAAAAAAAAACCCAACTATTAATAGGAACTGCTCATTTCAAGAAAATTTCCCATAGCAAACTGGTATCAGAACGAGTAGGCTTAATCACAAGGCTGGCTGTACTCATGCAGCATTGTGAAAGAGCATGAGGAGATGAATCAGATGATAGTGGATGGAATTGCATGGTTTTTAAATGAAGGTGAAAGCCTTCTCCGGCAACTGGGCGCAGCCCAGAGCAGCTGCCAAACTGACTGGCAGTGCTGTTCAACAGGCAAATCCTTCCAGACCACCACAAAACACAGCTGCCTTCTCCAGAGGGAAACTTTAAACTCCCAAAGCAACTTCATTTTTCTCTAAAACACTTAGGAAGCGGTTCTAGGAGCAAACCACACATTCGCTACCATAGCCGCAGGGAGCTGCCTGCCTGCTGGCTGAAGTTAGGAAACAGTGCAAATCATTCCGATGCGGGAAGAGGAACAGCTTGCCTCTTGGAGGTATGAACATCCCTGGCTGATACTTACAGCAGCTTTGCCTATCGGAAATCAAGATCTCGTAGATGAGCCACTCTGGTAAGAAGAAGGAAAGAATTCTGCAATAACTAGATCTACTTGTGAGTATTCATCCAAGACCAATACTGATTTGATTCGCATTCACTCCTCCTCCTGTTTTGTCTTTATGATTAATCAAATGAACAAGCTTTGTAGCAAGTAGGGATGACAATGAAACAATAAATTTTCCAGTAACACTTAGAGAAAGAGGTATTTTTAATCCATAAGCATAAATATTCACATCTGATATCTGAGTGAGGATGAGTATGGACATGTTCAGATCTTCTGTAGGTCAATAACAAGATTACAATTATAACAAGATCACTCACTTGCTTATACAGAACATTAAACTGGCTGTAGCAATTTAATATTGTCAAAGGGACACATCAAGAGCAGAGAGTGACGGGAAGATCTGACTCACACAGGATTATAGATCCTGCCCAGCCCTTGTACTCAGAGTTGATTAATCCTTTACCGTCTAATTACTTGTTGTACCTGATCTCAGAATGCCATCCAGCGCCTC